ACGATGGCGTGGATGTCCGTCTGGATGTGACGGTGGTGGGTGGCTGCTCGGGGGGTTGCTCGAGGAGTGGTCTGTTGGGATTCGTGCATGAGAAGTGGTGGAAGTGGGTTGGCCAGAATGGATTCTGAAGGTGGAGGAGTTTGAGTGGCGACGTCTTGCAAAGTGGTAGTTCGGGTTGTGGCGGTGGGAATTGGGTAGAAGCGAAGGGGGGGAAGTGGAACTGGGAGGATGATCTGTCTCAGTGTGTGTTGATGTGGAGGTCTGTGCGGTTAGGTTGGGATCCAGGAAGTATGCTGCTGGGGGAAACCGAGCCATGGTGTCAATGGCATTAAGAGCCAGGCGCGTGTGGCTCTGGATGCGTTGTACGTTGTTGTGGTAAATGGCAATGAGCCGCTGGACAGGTGGTGGGAGTGTATCAGTTAGAGGTTGATGTCCGATAGGGGTGTCAGTAAGGGCGTTGAGGCTGTCCAGGTGTTGGTGAAGAACGAATCTGTGGACGTGAAGGTCGGTGAGGATGCCCATAAGGGCGTGGGGTGGTTGGAGGGTGTATACTTCGGCCCAAAACGATTGGTCTGCCGAGATGTTGGTGGTGGCTGATGGTGCAGGTTGTGAGGGTGTGGGAAGTGGATTGGGTTGAGGCTGCAGCGGGGAAGTTGGATCCTGCACTTGCGGAGGTATTTCCTCCGGATCTTCATTGAAGAAAAGTAGAACCTCAGACTGCTCATCATAGTCGGCGTGGCTCTCCATTGACAGCTAAGCGTGGAAGCGGTGCACGGTTGCAGGTAACGATCACGAGTTTGAAAAAAACGGCTGCAGTCAAGTAGAAAACACTCTGCCTGTGGGATTGAGAGGTTAGAACTAGGTGTCAATCCAAGTAGAATGGGCAGGAAAAAGTGTAGAAAAAGTCGAACAAGTGGAAAGTGAAAGCCCGAAAGGAGGTGGCGTTCTTTTTGGTCATCACACGCTGTGTGAAGGTGCGGGGTGAAACTATGAGCTGCTGTGGCGTGAGTTGAGCTCGGCCGCGGCTGCAGCGGCGGCTTGGCGCGCAATCCGCAGGATGGTTTGTTGGAGCGTGGCCGCCTGCTGCTCTGTTAGTGGCGCATCTGGAATAGGGGGTACTGGTGGGAAAACTGTAGTGGTGTTGGTGGTAGTGGTTGGACTGAAGTGAGATGGTGGTACGGGACTTGATGTGACTGGTCGTCGAGTGGGATGTGCTGTGGGATTGAGGTAATGTTTGATGTCGTTGGAAAAGTTGAAGAGTAGAAGTTGGCCGTTCCGGTGGGGACGTGGAATGGTGACCTGTACAGGGATGCGTGTAGGTGCTGCTGAATGGGGGGCATGGTGCCATTGTGGGGGGCGCACCCAAGTGGTATTGATGGGTGGGTGTCCCGGACGTGCTTTTGGTAGAATGGGAACATTGGTAGTGAGGATGACAGGGTCCTCAGTGCTAGTGGAGGATGTGGTGGATGGTGGTGCTGGCGTGGTGTGCGGAGGTATGGCTGCAGGCGGTGTTGGTGTTGGCCTGGGGTTGGTCTGTGGTGTGTTGCGTGTAGATAGGTTGCGGTAAGATGTGTGAGAAACTGGAGGGGCTTTGGCTGGTGGTGTTGTAGATGTGGTAGAGGTTTTGTCCGGTACAGCGCTGACCGGAGGGCAAAGCATGGGAGCATGCTGTGGGGAGTCTTCCTCCTTTTTCGTGAGTTCCAGCTTTGGGTCATTAGTGGATGATTCACCGGCTTCTGCCTTGGTGAGGTGTGGTGTCTCTTCCTTCACTTCGATAGACTCTGTGGGAGTGCGATCCCAGTCAGGAGAGTCGTAGTCCATGGGGTGGTGAGAGGGCGAAGTGAGTTGTATGAAGCGGCCCGTCGAGAGTTCAAATGGCTGCGGAGTTAAATGTGTGACTGCTGGGTGGCAAAATGGAGATAGTGTGAAGAAAACTAAAAGGACGGGTTTTTTCCCGATCTCTGAGCAAAGCGTAATGTGTGAGACCAAGCGTTGCCCGACGCCTCAGGGGGAGGAGGACGGTGTGTCAGCAAGCAGGTGGCAAGCTACCGAGGAGGTGGAACTGGAGTTGGAGGCCGTCCAAAGTGCTTGGTGCAGGTGTCCGCGGTGGCCGGGAGCTGCGGAAGGTCGGTCTGGGATGATCTGGTGCCCTGAGGTTGTGTGGTTCGGCTGTGAGAGTGTGGTGAGGGGAAGCCGGTCTCGGGAACGAGACCTGTCTCTGCCACTGAACCGGTGGATGAGCGGTGGTGTGTTGGTGGGTGATGGTGTGGCTGGGTTGCGTTGAGAGGTGGCTCCGGAGAGGAGGTTGGTTTGCTGTGGTGGGATGTCAAGGGTGGGATCAATGCGGTAGTGGCCAGGCGAGCCTGGTGAGCCGGGAAGGAATTGCAGCCTGTTGAGTGCACGGCGGGCGTCGTGGGTGGTGTTGATCAAATGTCGCAATGTGTTGCGTGTCTGCAGAAAAAGTCTGTAGGCTGGTGTATTGGTGAAAGTAGAGATTGGGGGGATGGGATCCCGTACAATGGGGTGATGTTGGAGATCCTCAACAAGTGAGGATATAGTATTGATCATCCAGTGGAGCAGGAGTAGTTCAGGTTGGTGTGTCACGGATGGAGCCAAGTATGGCATGGGATTGTTCGGTAAAGAGTAGCTGTGGTGTGGAGTGGGTGGGCCAGGGGAAAAAATAGTGGTCGCTGAGAAAGGAGGTTGTGGAGTTCGTAGATCATCGCGAGGCATCATGTCGTAGGAAGGGCGGACGTTTATGAAGAAACAGTTCGGTCAAATGGCTGCGGAAAAATGGTGGCAAGCAAATGCGAAAAACCATTAAGCAGTGTGAGTGTGAAAAGAAGTAGTTCTGTTGGATGGCTGAGTTTTTCCGCTCGCCGAGAAAGTCAGTGAGACTTGAAAAACAAAATGTAACAGTAGCCGTGGGCGGGGATGCCGTCTCATAGTTGGCAAACTGCGCGGCGGCTGCCGTAGAGCTGGAGGTTGGATGTTGCTGTAGTTAGCCAATGCGGTGTGAGAGGCTGTCGCGGGACCGTGAACGTTCCCTAGTGTGAGTGGTAGTGTTGATGTGGGTTGCCGGGGTGGCTTGTGGTGGAGGGCCTGTCCAGTATGAGTATAGGCGTTCTGCGTCTTGTGGTGGGGTACGTGGTGAAGGGGAGGGTGAACGGCTGGAAAGTCCGGGTGGTAGTGGAAAACCTGGCGGTATGTTGTGGATAATGGCCAGGTTTCTGCTGGAGAGTGTGGCTGTGGGGTTGATGCGGTATTGTCCTGGGAGCCCGGGGCCGGTGGTAACAAATTGAAGGAGCCGACGAGCCTGGGAGAGGTTATCGATCAAGCGGTCGAGCAAGATCAGGTCACCGCGCAGTCGGTAAAGGAGGTTGTATGCTCTCTGGTCTTGAAAATAAGTCTGGCTTGGCATAGGTTCAGTGTGGAATGGGTGACGGCGGAGGTGTTGGTTGACCAGAAAGAGGAGGTCCAAAGAGCCGTTGAGGGATTGAAAATCGGGCTGAGTGCTAATCGAAGGTTGGAGCCAGCTCGGAGGGCGCTGTGGGAGGTAGTGTTCTGTATCAGCCGGGTTGCTATGAGGGCGAGCGCGAGGATTGGCCATGACAATTGATGTACAAAAGGCTGCGGAGCTGAAGTGAGCCTGAAAACTGACAGATCGAAGTTGGGCAACCTGGTGAAAGTAGGTTGGATGTGAAAAAACCAAATGTCAGTACGGGTCAGTGGATTTGTCCTGCGGCACGCCGTAAAGAAAGGTGGGTGAAATGGGTCAAATGAAATAACTGACCACGGGCGTAAGTGGAGATTTCTCCGGATGACTGTCTTCACTAAGGTCCCGCTCAGCAGCCGGCGGCAGCAGCACAGCAGCAGGAGTCGTTGGATGTTGTGAAGTCGGTGGCGTTGTTATGGGGGAAGGGGAGAAATCCGGTTGTGAATGTGGTGCTGGGGAAACTGCTGGTGATGTGGGTGTTGGTGAGGGGGAAGGTGCTTGTCTTGGTGGTGCGGTTGGTAGTGGTGTGGAGAAGAGTTGCTGGTCCTGCTGACGTTGCATGTCTTTGAGTTCTTGCCATCGGGCTTGGCATTGCTCAACGGAGAAGCCCACTCGGCGAGCCACAGTGGTCCAGTTGGGACGAAGTTTGGGGTTTTCTTTGAGTTCGACCAGGCGACAGTCAGCGTCGCCGTCCCAAGCATCCCAGTCCGCCTGTCGGTTCAGTGGTGGTGGGGGTGGTTGCTTCCGCTTGCGTGTTGTGGTGGGTTGTGGATCTGGGGGTGTTGTTGGAGCGTCGTCTGAGTCTTTTGAGGGTGGTGCTGGTAAACGGTTGGGTGGTCTGGATGGTGCTGAGTCACAGGATGAGGTGGTAGATGGTAAACGTATAGGGTGGTTGGGCGGAGTTGGAAGTGGCTGAAAGTGTTGGCGGAAAGTGGGGTCCGCTTGGTGGCAGTGGTGGAGGAAAACAGTGTGGAGGTGTGCTACAATATCTGTTGCTTGTCGGAGCAGGTTTTGCACCTGCGAAAGTGCCACTGCGGTTCTGTGTATGAGAGTTGAGGTGTCGTTTTGTAGAGGTGTCGGTGTGCTGCTCATGATTCTGAGATATAGGGGTGTACAGTAGCTAAGAATCGTCACAGGTTGCTGCGGCAGCGCGCCAAAGCAGCCGGACAGCGGCGAGTCTGAGGGAGCGCGGCATCACGAGGCCGTGCATATGAATTAAACGAGCATCAAATTCCCACAGGCAAAAGAGCGAATATGCAATGCCGGTTGGACAATCAAGTACATGAGAATCTGACATGTGAAAGACTCCATCAAAACAGCCGGTACAATTCGAAGAAAGATGTTTACAGCAAACACTGCAGAGCTTGAAAAATTGAGGGTTCAAAATTCGCGTGGCCGCTGCAGGAGGCTCTTTTTTTTGCTGCTACAGCAAAGGTTGGGTGGTGGTGTGAGACCAAAAGTGGATGTGGAGGTGGTAGTGGTGTGTAGATGTGTGGTAGTGGTGTTATGGGTCCGGTGGAGTGGAGTTGGTGGACCAGGCCAGTCCTTTGACAATGGCGTGGTCCGGGTGGATCACCCAGCAGCGGCCCTTCTGATGAAAGACTGCACCATGGTGGTCGTTAAGGAGGTTCATGGCGTGTTCCTCACCTCCAGAGGTATATTTTGTGGCAGCACCCCAAGCAAGGAGTGTGATGATAAGGGAATGGGAATTCTTGTGGAGTTGCCAGGTGTTGTGGATGATGCGGGCAAGTTCGTTGTGGTCATGGGGTTGGTTGTGGGTGATGCGAACGCCCTGGGCAAAAAATCCAGGGTAGTTGGCAAAGTGGAGTGTGCTGGGTAAAAATCGGCCTTGGCGTAGAATGTTGGAAATGTTGCCGACGGGGCCTGTGTGGCCTGCGTTGATGTGGGCGACTTCCCGGTGGGTTGATGTGGCGCGGGAAACCGCAGGTGGCTCTGGTGTAGTGGCTTTGGTGTTGAGGAAGGGAAGTGAAATGGCGTAGTACTGGAATTGGTCGTATTGGTGAGTTGCGTCGTTCCACTTGGCGTGGGTATATTGTCGGAAATCGGTGATCTCCTTGTAGGTGATGTTGCAGTCTGTGAGGATATTGGCAATGTACTGGTGTTGTGGTCGGTTGGGATTGTCGAGTTGGGTGGCGTGGAATTCGAGCCATTCCAGGATTTGGTCTGCAGGTGTAAAGGTGTGAAAGTTGGGTGGAGGTCGCCAACGGTTGATTGGGCGACGGAGGACGGCTGTGGTGGGAAATTGAGAGGGGTCTGGGTTGGAGTGTTCGGTGTTAGGGCGTAGATCAATGGGTTGTGGTGGCGAGCGACTGCAGGATGGCGTAAGGCTGGATGTGTAAGTGGATGTTGAAGGCGACCGCCGTCGCCGGGTTGTGCTGTGATGTTTGGAGTGGCGGTGATGGTGATGTCGGTGGCGGTGGCGGTGGCGTCCTCTGTGGTGATGGTCGGACTTGCGTCGGCTCTTGTGGTGGTGGCGGCGACTGCTGTGTGGTGGTTGCGGGGAAGGTGGTTGCGGTGCTGGTGAGGCAGTGGTGTCAGGTTTGTCTGGTGCTGGTAGTGAAGATCCAGGCGCTGGTGTGGCAGATACCAGCGATGGTGATGCTGAATGTTGGGATACGGTAGCTGGTGGGGGCGTGTTTTGGACTGGTAATGGATTGTCCTGGGCAGTCGTGGGGATGGATTGGATTGGTGGTGTTGGATCCGATGGTGGCTGCTGTTGAAGTGGAGGTTGGGCTGGTGTTGAGGCGTTGATGGTTTGTGGAGGCGGTGGCGGGGGCAACGGTTGGAGTGGAGGCTGTGTGACGGGGGGAAAGGCTGAATAGGGTTGCCAAACGCCCTGCAGGATGGCGCATTGGGGGTCTGTGGATGGATGATTGGCAATCGCAGTCTGTTGCTGTGTTGGAGGGGGATGTGTCAGTGTAGTGGGGGGAGGGAGTTCAGCCGGTGGTGTGGGATGATGTGGTGGCAACAGGTAGGAAGGGGGAGGTGCTGCTGTCGGAAATACTGGAGTTGGATGTGTGGGCTGCGGTGGCACGTGACATGGTTGGACAAAAGTCCAAGTGGATGGTGTGCCGTAGGTCAGTGCAGTGGCGGTAGGGTTGGACAAAAACGGTGGTGGTTGAAATGGTTGTGGTTGTGGGTGAGGGTATGCCGATGGTTGTGTCGGGGGAAAGTGGGTGCAGTTGATGGTTGTGGCATCGGCCATGTGGGTTGAGGTTGTGTGGTAGGTAATGGTGGTGGCGTGGTGTGAGCGTAGGGCCACGGAAAATGCATGTCGTGGTCGTAGCTATGGCGCGGCGCGGCGCGGTAGCAAAAAGCAGCGGGGAAGTGCCGAGTTGTATTGTCTTGTTGTTGTTGAAGGTGTCCTCTCTGGTGTCAATGGTGAGTATGTTGTAAGGTGGTGCTAGATGTGAGCTTGTTGGTAGGTGTGTGTTCATGCATCTCGAATTAAGCTGAAGAGCTGTAATGCCCATCCTTGAGTTCTGTCGAGGAAAGAATCGCGGCAGCAACATAGCAAACATAGAAACACGCACATGATTGGAAGACATGAAAAGAAAACTGAATGCTGAAATCTGAGATCTGGAAGTTGGAATCTGAAGCATTCTTCAAGAACCGTTTTTTGGCCCGGCGGCCGGTGTGGCGGTTGATTCTGTGAGGGTGTCGGTGCCTTCCTGTGAGAGTCCAGTGAGCGGTGGTGCGTTGGGGTGGTTGCTTTCCCATGCAAAATCGGCGCCCCAGTGACGGGGATCACACTCAGCACCCGAGTGGGACGGCTGAGCGAAACACACTCTGACACTGGTTTTCAGTTAACGCAAGTCACGTTGGGAAGGAAGGTGAGAGAACAGAAAGGTGCATGGGTCCGAGCACTTGAAAGGTTTAACATTGTTGTCACAAAGGCGGCAGCAAGCAAACCGGCGGCGCAGCTGCTGGGGACGAATAGGTTTGTGGGAAGTATCATGCAAACGACCATGAATCAAAAAATGGAAAATTGGAGTGACAGCTTGTGGAGAAACGAGCAGGTACACAGGGATGATCAGTCCCTGCTTCCCCTTCTTGTCCACAGCTTCATTGCGTGTGGTAGGACAAGAAGGCCACACGCCCCTGCCTGTGTAAAGTGGAAAGAGTGGTGGTGAAAGACCCTTTGTCCAGGGTGGGACACACACACACAAACACACAAACAAACATTCGGGTGCGTCTCAGGATGAGAAAGCCCAGTCCCCTGGCAATAGCCATAGATGATGAAGACCCTACAAGTGGGGGTTGGAAAGCTCCTCATTCTGAGACAGATCAGTTCTTTGGGATGGAAGAGCCTGGCTCTGATCTATCGGCTTGTTGAACATCAACGAGTCAACTCGTGAAATGCAGTCCTTAAGAAAGGGAATGGATCAACCTGGTCTCCCTGATATCTGATGGGTGGCAAAAGGCCAAACACTTTGTCAGCCCTTCTGGTCCAGTCTCACATCACTCGAGCACCCGCACCTGGGGAACTGACGTATTCTCTCGCGGGAGACGGCAAAGATGGGATTGTACAAGACCCCCGTGTGCCTGACTGAGGATTTCGGCGTCAGGGGACGCCATGATGTGACCTATCAAGGAAGCTTCTTTCTCAACTTCTGTGGCTTTGGAGGTTTCAGAGAAACAGTTTGGCCTCTCCTATACTGCTGGCACAATCCCATCCTCTGCTTAGGGAACTGCTGAAAACGCTGGAATGTCGCTCAGCATGTAAGGTTTCGACTGAAAGCCCTGGCTCAGACCTTCTCACAGGTTGCATTGTGCACAATTTTTCCAGCAATAGTGCTGCTACATGTGCCTGGCTTTTGCAAGTGACACATTGATGAACGCTTCAAACCACTTCCTCAGTGAACAAACAAACTGCTGCAAATGGTGAGAAAGTTGCTTTTCCTGTGTCACGGATCATTTTGGGTGACCGATTTTGATGTTCTAGGAGACTGGGTGGGACAAGCTTCATCCACCCGCCGCATGCCCGTCTGCAAACTCATGAAACTGCAAAAAAATCAAACCCATGGAATGAAAAAGAAAGAGAGAGAGGTGAAATTGTTACAAAAAAGAAATGACAACAAGAAAAAGAAGTGGTACATAATATACACAGCTTCTCCAAACCGAGCATCTGCAGAGGCGTAATGCTGGCCCGACAGGAGGCGGTCTTTGTGCCACCCGCGTGATTTTGGTATTTGGCTTAGCGCAAACGAGCCACCGACCGGTGCAGAGTTTATCGAAGGGTGGATGTCTGGCCTTTGGGCTGATCCTTTCTACCACCTGCAGACATCTGGTGTAGGACTAATAGCAAGAATGCTCCTAGAAGCGATGCCCTTTGTTCCTAGTAGCTTCTTTCATGTAATAATGATAGTATATGATACTTACTCATGGATTGCCTTGGATTGGCTGTGCACGTACAAGTGAACCGCTAACTTGCGGCCAGCAGCTCAAGGTGAAGAAACCTTCGAACTCGTGGAAGGAGTCTGGCTTCGTATGCCTCGCAGAAAGTGGATACATAAATTTGTGACCGCGACTACAGTGGAAGATAAAGAAACAAAAACGATTGGGCCCCGCCAAAATGATATTAAGATCCGGTCCACCCATCGATTTGACCTCAATGACGCTTGCCCAGCTGCGCCATGGTGGCAAATCCCGGGAAGTTTTGCCGCCGCTCCGGGGTGTCCAGTTGACTGAGGACCTGAAAATGGAGCGTCTGGTCCATTGATATGCTTCGTGGCCACACGGCTGAGGTGCACACGAGTGGGAATTCTGTTCTGTTTAAAGAAAATACTTTGGCCAACACCCACGCGGCTATATACGACTTCGTGACGTTCCCACCCTCCCAAACACCCACTCACCACACGTGCCTTTGCACAAACGTACGAGTTTGAGTGGGCTATGCTATTGAATACAAATCCTTCCCTCTCCGCCTGGTCTCCAGTCTTGGGATCTGGTCTGGGCTTAGCGGCTTACCAATGTCATGCAGGCGTCTCCCCCAAAACTGTAGCTACTTAGAGACTACAGAGATACTATATGAATATAGTATATATATATATATAATAATAATATTATGAAAAAATTGTCTGGGACCTAGGACGATGAAGTTCTTCCGTTCCTTGCCAAAACCAGAGAATTGAAAGAACTGCACTTTGCGGGTTTTAGATACTGCACCAATTAAAACTGCGAAGGGTGATGTGCATGGCCTTATGGTGCACCCCAAAGAAGTTGTACATCCGCCAAACACCAAGAAATTCTGACCATGTCCAATGCTGATACCCCAGATGCTGCCGCGAGACGAAGTTGAGCTTGCGGCACTTCAGCCAGTCCCAGCCCCGGTCGTAAATGGAGCCCAACGTGAAGATGGTGATGGGCGCCAGGTCGTCATAGAAGTGGGTGATATGCGTCAAGTACCTGGTAATTCAAGGTTGTAAGGATCATATTATTTATCCCACACACGCAGTGCTTAACAAGATATATACAGTAATATATGTATATGTATATTTACACTTACACTCAACATCAATGACTGTGCCGCTGGAGGACTTTGATATTAGGTCATCCGAGCTCATCCAGCTAGTGCCGGCTTCTCGCATATCACGGTTCATGCCCTTCCATCTCCCATCGGTTCGTGCACAGGTTGCTCCCTCGAGTCCGAAACATGTACGATGCAGTCCGCACAGTCATGTTTCGTCTCATTCTTGCGGGGCTATGATGAATCTGCACACAACTGCAGCCAAGCTGGCGCATATTCCTCCCCGCCGAAGTTATCTATTCGAAGGCAGCGAGGATCCTTCAAACGATCACCTGGCAGCCAATGGTGCCAACAAATGACTCGGCAGATGGGGCACAAAGGCTTCATGTACTAGCTCAATGACTCAGCGGCAGAATGAGAAGGCCATTTCATAGAGGCATGGGGAGTCCAAAAAATGTGCCCTGAAGGTCATAGGCCCTCACAGTCGCAAAGCACTCAGAGTTGGGTGACATGGGTCTACCGCAACTCTTTAGGTTCCGTGCTAATGAGTATATTGAGATATATTGAGCATATACAGCGTTTACCCAGCAGAGTGGTCCACTCACTCACGGGAGTTGAACTCAAGATAGAAAAGCAATATGATAAAACAAACTGATCTTCTTCGTATGGGCCGCCTCAAAACACTACCTACCTTGAGCTTTGTTCCACACGTAATTAATCATGTTGCACCAAGCATCTTGCCAAGATCAGCTTCCATGGAGAAACCTCCAACACCCAACCAGTCTGCATGTGTAGCACAGAAACCAAACAGCTAGGGGACACCGTTCTTGAACCTCAAGAAACCATTGGAACGTTGGTGGGTCTCCATGTTGGCACCAAGGACCGCCCAACAAACCACCGCACCTTTGCAGTACAAACGCAGCGCGAAGTCCGAGGCCATCGGCTCCATCATCACGTTGATCCAACCTCAGAGTGCGGAGAAAGGAACCTTCCAAACAATCCAAAGTAACCAAGAGTGACCGTTTGGGGGGGTGATATGGTTTGATCGAAGTAATGAAGGGAACCGTGCCAGGCACATCTTGGTGGTAAGATCCAATCGATTCGGTAGTAGAAACCCGATCGGTGTAAATAGTTTCTTTTGGGATTCGAGTCCACCTGTATCTGTCGAATTATTTGTCGCATGGTCACGTTCCAGACTTGGAGACCACATCAAATGGAACTCATCATGTTGCATCAGTTTGCACCATACAGCTGCAAAAACGCATTGCCCAGTCGACCCCCTATACTTGTTTCCTGCGGCTTCTAGAAGGCCGGCCACTGCCAGGGTTGGAGCAAAGGCTTGATCGACGGTTCAGTGGATCTGCTCCAGAAGGGTTGTAACGGACACTGAGCTCCAGCAGCCTGCCGCAGTAGAGCGGTTGGAGAGCGGAAGCAACGATGTCGCAGAATTTCACCCAGCACCAACACTTGGAGGGGCCGGTTCCCGCCACAAATGGACTGTCAAGAGACAACTGATGACCAACTAGTGGCTGCCCATGTTGGTGGAACAGCGCCCCTCAATGACACCAAGCCACTAAGATCCTCCCGGAAGGCTGCGATGACCAGATCGATCTGCGCGTTGAGCGGTGACCGCCGCGGAAGGTCGTACCTTGTTGGCTGGTTGCAGTGCCCGCATCCAAGGGATTCTCTAGCCCAAACCTAGCCCTAGCTTTACCATCAGCAGGGTGTCAGTCATCAAAAGGAATTGGCTATGCGGCTATGCAAGAGTCGTTGGAATCAGGTTACTGCACAGAAAAGAAGATCCATGAAGATCCTGGGAACGAGCACAAACTTGATTTAGAAACCTCTAGATATAAAACGATATAAATAACATGTGCTCCACAAGTACTTTAGTTTGCCCACAAAATAACGAAAGGCTCGACACCGAAAGAAGTTTCGGCCCATCAACGAGGCTCCAAATCATCTCCGGCTCGGAGGCGTTGCTTTGCCCCGGAGGCGTCGTGCTTGGAGCTCCGGCCACGGATCCGTCCAGATGGCCCGTCGGTTCCGCCCTCAGAGTGCTGCTTGGAGCTCCTGAGAGTGCAAGCGACTGAGGGATGAGACTTTCCTGGAGCAATGGAGCCTTGTGGTTGGACTTGAGTGCTTTCTGAATGGGAATGGTTCAGAAGTATCTTCGGGACCCAAAGAGATGTTCCTCCAAAAGGCACCACTCAGAGGGAGGTTGAAGTATATATACTCCACACGTCTTACCCAACTACCAGATATTGCTAGATGAACTCTGATTGCAGTCATTCAGATCCGTTGGGTAGGGTATCGTGTCATGAAACAAGTGCATCTGTGCCTGTGCGCATGCATATGACAAGCTTGATTTGAAGAGCTCCATCTTTCTGAGACAACCCACCCTGCCTCCTTCCAGGGCTGTCCGTTCCAGTCTGGCAGATTTCTGATTCTTTTCCAGTCTCAGAAGAGCCTCAGCCACATTGGCCTTTTGGATAGTCTTGTGCGGCCTTGGCTTGGCAAACGGAAACATCTGCGTGCAAATGTTGTATTTAATAGAGAAAGCCCACAGCAGTTGCATCAACAAAATGGAATGATTACAGTAATGTGGATGCTACCGGTATACACAGATGGACTACAAGCAATAATATTACCCATTCGCCAGAAGTCAATGCAACTGGCTCGGAAAACATCCAAAGAGGAGGAAACCGAGCTGGTAAAATGACACGAATGACGTGTACGAGAGAAGGGCAACTGAAGATAGGAAAAGATTGTTGCCTTAACCACAAAGAGACAACTTGAGGTGACTAAGATTGAATGTGGTATCTCCTTCTACCTCCTCTTGCTCTTGCTGTCAAGTGAACATCCGGATTCTTGGAAGTACATTGCACACTCAAATTCTTGACAACACAAGTCTCCGCACATGTTCTCGTAACCCCGTGATGTCCCAAAGAACAATGTTAGAACAATTACTGCAGTCTAAATTAACCTTGCGCCAAAAAGAGCTCGAACATGTGGTCCCGTGCAAGTTTTGAAACAGTAGATTCCACAACAATCAACTAAAAAGCACACACCGATTCATTTCGCCAGTTTTGAATCTTTTTGAATGCAGCGTACATGTCTCACCTGATCTCTTCACATCCACAAGCGCATGTGCCTTCCCAGCACATGGGCCCGGCCGGGTGGCTCAGTGAGGCCGATCTGTGGCACGTCCAAGACTTGTAGAGAAGCCAAGGCGAAGAGCACCGCCACGGTGAGGCAAAGGCCAATGGCCCAAGTTCGACCGTCGGTCCGACCTGCGCCGTTGGCGTGTGTCTGACATGTTCCCTTTGCATTCTGCCAGGGTGGCCAAAGGCAGTGTCAGTTTCCGAACAAGCAGATTGGGCCATCGACCTAGCTGAACCTCTACCTCACATACCAGCGTAGGTTGCACTGTGCAAGATTTGAAAAAGTCTGAAAATGCAATAAACCAATGATGTCCAAACTTGATGGTCGCAGAATATGGGGGCCGTCTCAGAACCTGAACAGGAGCCTTGAATCTTAGGGAAAAAAGGCAAGCCTTTGGGGACATCAATGAGCCGATGTGATAGGATAATGAACATCTCTCGTTTGGGAGGTCCCAAAGTAACTAAGTCGCGTCTCTTGACTTGTAGTGGCATGAGAAACCCGTTCCCCTTTTAATCCCTTTTGAGTAGGCCCCGTATTGTAGACTTACACTGGTGAATCTGACAGTGTTGTGTCTGCCACAAAGTCAGACTTGTGGATCAGATCGCCAATAGTTCGGCGGAGCAAAAAATTAGAAAGGGCATAAACCATCATAAGCCATACTGCTCCTGAAGTATACCCTGCGTCAAAGCCCAAAACAAGACAAAGCACTCTACTTTGGGATGTTACCCACACTTTGGGTTCCTCGCTCGCAAACAGTCTGCATTGCCACACGTTACATGCCCCTAGCCTTGTATCTACCGGGTAACACAATGTAGTTTGTACGCGCAAACGTGATGGGTGAGCAAGAAACAGAACAGTGTATTGCAACAAAAAGATGCGAGATCAAATAAAACAAGACAGAAGGTCGAAGACGCTAACGTCATTAGCAGGATTATCTCTATGGACAGAAGCCTTATAGATCATGGTTTGGGGGTTCAGGTGTTCATCCACAATGGAGACTTCAGAGCCATGTTGTTTCGTCAGAATCTGCCACTCAGCCGGGTACGGCCTCTGCCTCCCTCCTCATTGTGCACGCGTCGCCTGGCAGTGCACGATCCCTGGAGAATCAGTCAAAAACACATTTAAAAAACACCATAAAAATAAAAGAAAGTAATAAGTCTAGACCTGTTGGTCATCTCAACTCGAAAACATCTTGAAATTAGGATCGTCAGAGCTTGGTCAAAATACCGGAGCTTTGTTGGTTTTGTGCATGAAGAGATAAGGGTCTCTGGCCTTTTGGACATATCTGTGCGCCATTGGATCTGTGGTCAAGGACCACTAGAGTGCTACAGTCTGAAATTCAATGTCCTGAAAACATGTTAATTAACGAGTGAGCTGCAAGTAGACATCGCACGTACACCCAAAGGCAGATTGAGTCAAACGCTCTGCGTATGCCCAGACAGGGTGCAATCAGTTCTGCCTGGCTCATCAATGCCCTGTGAGGTATATTCCAATAATTTCCAATGGCTGTTTGTCCGCCCTGAGAACACCAGCCACACTGTGCCAAACAAACATCAAATGGCCTTCACAGCTAGCAATTTGCCAATCGTGTGACAACGGTGCTACCGTGTGACAAACGTGCACTTGATCCATGTCGGCAACGGCGAAGTGGGCCAGGGTGGTAATGTCTGGCTGTTCAGAGTTTCGTGCGAGTGGTTTTTCCCGCCGACCATGGGCGTGCATCTGGTGTGCAACACGCCATTTGTGATACCAGTGGGCGCTTTGAGACGGGTACAGTTCAATTCCCTTCTTGTCTGGAGTTGGTATCACAAAACCTCACATTATGGCATACCTGTGGAGAAGCAAGCCAACACACAGAATCATCCAAGTCTCAAAGTCTGATTTTGATTGTGGTTTCAGCTTTCCATCAGTCAATCACTGAGCCCGCCCTACTATGTTTGGACCTTGTCTAGAGGTTGATGTAGGTTTAACACCAATAGTATTTATGCACAAAAGTAGTTTATTGCATAATGTATGCCACACATAGCCAGCAGTCTAAACATGGGGATTCGATTATATAACCATGATTAACCCAATTGGCTTTATGCTAATCAACACTTGCCCTTGTGGCCAGAGATTTCGGGTTTCCCTCAGTTTGAAATACACGCCCACGTGCCGCAATGATTTCCTCAGCAGCATTCCGGCTTTTTGCTGGTACCAAGCATTGCCACCAGCTCTGATCCTGCAACTGGATTTCAGGGAAGATTCACAACAAAAGGTCAGATCTAGCTGATAAACGTCCCACCAACATTCTATCATTCTCCAATCAACCCACAGAAATCCACATCCGACTGATGCAGAGTGATCAGAGAAACATCCTACATTCATCCAGAGTACCTGCGACTTGAACCCATTCTTCAGGATCCGGGTCCTAAGAGTAGCGGTATATATCACTGGCCATCCGGCCAGCTATATACATGGTGTCTTTCTTCGGGTCTTCTTCAACTCAAGATTCAAGGTGCATCACTAATAATGAATTTTTGTCACCACGAAGGAGGCAATTCTTGTATTCATCCACAGGCACATCGACCCCACCCTAAGATTGTTAGCTCGTACCCCATAAGTTGTGAAGAAAAACATAGAGGTTCTCAGGACATCACTCTGATGCCATCTGATGCCGGAAACTGATGCCAGCTGCCACACGTGACGCACGTGGCGCCTGCAGGGCGGCGCCCCCGCTGCAGTTTCTGCGGTGGCTCCCCGCAGACCAATGGTTCACCTCGGGTGCCCAGCCGGGCAGCGACCAGCCTGGCGGGAACCAGCGAAGAGATCCGAGGTTGGTCTCTCTGGTGAACTCTTGAAGCTCAAGAACTCACCATAAAAGGCATGTAAACACAATCTCATTACAGGCAAACTGACGGAAAAGTAGAGAACTCACTGGGAGACCCCAAAGGGGAGAACCATCAAACGCCCTCTCCATTTGCTGGCCTAGAAAACAAAAGCAAGCAGCTCGTTTTGGCCAATAATCTAACCAGCCGCACGAGGGCACTAGCACGCACAGGCATGTATTGATTGATAGGATGATTGAACTGATCGGTTGTCTGACAGACAATTAGATTCAAACAAATATATACAGTAATGGATGTGGACCTGACATCATCGCTTACCGGTAGACTGAAACGCTTCCAGGTCGCACTCTTCGTTGCACCGGAACTGGGACAGCAAAGTGTGATGCCTTGGGATCAACCACTTCGCAAACACACTGTGACACACCCCATTGATTCAACGGGTGAGAAAGTGGGCTATACCATTCCTACCTTCCACTTGCTTGGCCTTGAAGTCCGCCACCACAAAAATATCATTCTGTCTTTCTCTACGTTTTGGGAATAGTCAAGCTCCTGGGAATGTGATGCAACCTACACATTCTAGATTCCAGCTGAACATCATGGATACAAAAGCACCATCTACTGCCTGTGCGACTCTGCTGGCTGTCATGTAAGGATCTCTCTTTATGAGTATGTTGCAAATTCACTCAAGGATATGCTTGTTTTCTCATACTTCATGTCTTCTACAACACGTCCCCAGCAGCAAACAGGAGAATGCTCTCCAAGAGTGCGCTCGAGACTGCCTCCAAACATGAACATCATCATCATCATCATCATCATCATCATCATCATCATCATCATCA